CCAAATTAGAAAGATAAAGACAAGGAGCAGCTATATCATCCAATTACAACAGATTCTAATGAGCTATTTAAACAACTATGGATTCCCCCCAAAATGGAAAAAGGATAAGGAAATGACGTTGGCATGGACTATCGCCATATCCTATGGAAATTTAACTTGTATAAAATGACTACCACAATGAGAAAATCAAAGAAAGGAGTCCAGAAACTTCCTTAATCAGCAAAGGTGTTTTCCTTACCTAGAAGAAGCTAGGTGCTTGGTGGATAGAGCACTGGGCCTGGAGTCAGGAAGATCTGATTTCAAATCTGGCCTCAAACGCTTAGTAGCTGTGTGACTCTGGGCAAGTCCCTTTACCTCTGTCTGCCTCAGTTTCCTCAACTGTAAAATGGGGATAATAACAGCACCCACCTCACAAGGTTGTTGTGAGGATCAAACAAGGTCATATTGACAAGGGCTTAGCACAGTGTCTGGGACATAGTAGATCCTTGTTTCCTTCCCCTTGCCAAGAAAAGAGATGGCAAGCAAAAGCCACTAAAGTTTTGCAAATTAGTTTGTATTCTAAGTAGAATACACTTAGAATACAAACTAATTTGTAAAAGTTTACAGAGACAGATGAGGTATGATTCATGTGTAGTATGTCCTCATAGAACAGTGAGAAGTGTTTGAGGGAAAAGCAAATTTGCAAAAACTTTTACGTGAGACCCAATTAAATTAAATCATCTCATGAACAGCTAAGGATGAAAAGGAAGAAAATAAACAGATAAGAAATGCAATAGATCTGTCAGCATTTCTATAACAGATTATTTTCTTTATCAGGGACTGAAGAGACACCACATTTGGCCTCTTATAATCTCATCCCCTGGTGTGCCATACGATGACGAGAAAATGGCATGAAAGCCAAAGAAAATGGGAAAAGCAGCAGGACCAGACCAAGTTTATATAGTGAAAAAAAGTGATCATGAGAATATTAATAATTTAATAACTCAGCCCTATAAAGTCTTCAGGAGAATGTACACATCTGTTGGGGGTATGCTTGATGAAAATAGGAGAACAGACAGGTTTTCACAAAAAAATTCCACAGCAGATCATACTTTCACAGTTACGTAATTAAATGAAAGACACAAAGAATTCAAGGTTCCTCTGATTGTTGTTAAGTAGATTACAAAAAATTTCACAAAAAATAAAAATAAAGAAAAGAACAAAAATTAAAAGCATCTGATTCAGCAAAACAAAATGCTTTCCTAAAAGATCTTCTCCAGCAAAGTAGTTCCCATAAATGTGTTAAGATGATGTAAGATTCCTTGATAGATACAAATACAGAGCTGACTTTGTTAAACAATCCTATTATTATCAATATTCATCACGATAAGGAAAAGGGATGCTTGCTAAAGGTGTCTGCCATCATTATAGATGATATCCACCACAGAGTACAAATATGCTGGGGTCTTCCAAATGCTCTAGTGGGTGTACAGTATTGTACTATTTTTACCAAACCCTGGAATACTAAAAAAAACTACTAACCAAGATCCAAAATCACTGAAAAGAGTTTGTACTAACAACTCACACAGGAAAAATTAAGTGGATTGGGGCAGCTAGGTGGTGCAGTGGATAGAGCACTGGGCCTGGAATCAGGAGGACTTGAGTTCAAATCCGGCCTCAGGCACTTGACACTAACTAGCTGTGTGACCCTGGGCAAGTCACTTAACTCCATTGCCTACCCCACCCCCCAAAATTAAGTAGTTAAAAAAATACCTCTTGTCTAGACTATGCTAGGCAGCTGGGTGAGTGGCCCTTTATATCTTGGACAGATACTTCAGACAGATAATGAGCTGCACCCAGAATTCAATAGGAAGAGGACTAGACTGCATTTGGTAAGCTGCAGAATGTTTTCATTAATCCCAAGGTGCTCCTGGAAACAAAAATCCATCCTTTAAACTTTTTTTTTTTTTTAGCAATCCTATATGACTATGAGTCATGGAATACCATATTCTCTCAAGAATCAGAATTGTGGCTGGCCCAAAAGGCAATGGAAAGATGGGTGGTGAGGCCTAAATAGGCTACAGAGTATCGCCAACGATGACTTGCGCACAAGAAGTGAAATAAAAAAGATGTATCATAAGAAAATGTGATGGGTCAGTTGTAATGAAAGTGAAGATAATGGACAGCCAGCCCAAGAGCATAACTGTTGCTCACATAATATCACATGCCATAGAGGAAGGCCTCCAGTTACTTGGGTGAACTCACTATGAAGGACGTGTGAGAAGACATAGCCATGAGTTGTAAAGGATGAGAAGGCCCGGATGGGTTGTAATCTGTTCCTCTGGAAGGGTCTGTACCCACATTGAAGGGTCAGTTTTTGTCACCATATCCCCAGTATCTAGCACAGTGCCAAACATACAGTAGGTGCTAAATAAATGCTTTTTGAATGGAGGAATGAAAACATGGATCCACTGAAGAAAATTAGTAATGTACAGCCAGCTAGGATTTATATAGAGCCTTAAGATCTTCATATTATGCAATATTATAAGGATGATCAACTGTGAAAGACTTTGCTACTCTGATCAAGACAATGATCCAAGACAATTCCAAAGAACCATCAGGAAAAATGCTCTGCACCTCAAGAGAGAGAACTGATGAATTCTGAGCGCAGATCAAAACATGCAATTTTCTTTATCTTTGTTGTTTTATTTTGTTCACGTTTTCTTTTGCAACATGGCTAATATGGAAGTAAGTTTAGCATGACCTCACATGTATGACTGATATCAAATCCCTTTCCTTCTCAAGGAGGGGAAGGGGTGGGAGGGAGGGAGAGAATTTAGAACTCAAAATTTAAAAAAATGATTGTTTAGGGGTGGCTAGGTGGTGCAGTGGATAGAGCACAGGCCCTGGGGTCAGGAGGACCTGAGTTCAAATCTGGCCTCAGACACATAACACTCACAAGCTATGTGACCCTGGGCAAGTCATTTAACCATGATTGCCTCCCTCCCCCCCCCCCAAAGCAAACTCTTTATCCATTAGAACAGTGGTCTGAAACTTTTTTGATTGTGCATTGCTATCAATTAAAAAAAATGAGCACACACCTTCAACATGTGGATATTACTTATTTATAAAGTATATCTATGTTTACTTAGAACTCTTTGAGGGCAGGGACTGTCTTTTGTCTTTTTTTGATGGTACATAGTGGGTGCTTAATAAATGCTTGAAATGCCAGGTTGACAATTGTTGTCTCTTTCTTGTTTAGCACATAGTAACTGCTTAATAAATGCTTTCAATGTCAGGTTGACAACTGTCTGTTTTATCCTAGAGGTAGCAGGAAGCCTGACACATAGTAGTCACTTATTGATTGATTGAAAAAGAACCCCTTCCACAAGATAGCCTTTCAGATACTCGAAGAAGGTCTACGTGTTCTTAAATCTTTTCTTCTCCTGCTTAAACATTGCCATTTCTTTCAACTGGTCCTCACACAACATGGTCTCTAGTCTCACCATGCTGGTTACCATCTTCTGGATGCACAGCAGCTTGCCAATTTCCTTCCTAGAATGAATCACCCAGAACTGAACTCAGCACTCTCCAGAAATGACTGGATAGGAGCAGAGTACAGAGACTGTAATTTCACTTTTCTTTACCTGAGGTATAAATGGCCATTTGCCCAATTCAGAGATGAGAAGGAGCAGGTTCTTATGAGATGTTTGATCTGATTGGAAACAACATGCAAGGTGGCCAAGTCATCTTTGATGAGATGGGCTTAGGGACACTAGAAAATGGGAGTTTGCAATGAAATCAATTGTACCAGTAGAATAATTCATGCACTGGTCAAATTAATGTAAAGGAAAACCACATCCAAAGACTTCAGAACTCTAAATTCATTATTTCTGAGGATTTATGGTGATGCAGACCTCTCACCTGTCAGAAGAAAAGTAGTAGGCTGTAGATGTGGAGTGAGACATACATTTGTAGATTTAGTTAATATGTCTGTTTGTTTGGACTTTTCTTATTTGGAACAGGGGGAGGGTTATTTTGTGGGGATTGAAGAAAGTCACTGGGAAGTGATATGGTTGTAAAAAGGAAAAAAAGCAGTTAAGTAGTATAGGGGATAGAGCATTGGGCTTGGACACGGGAAGATCTGAGGTCGAATCATGCCTTAAGCATTTGTTAGCTGTGTGACTTTGGGCAAGTCACTTACTGTCTCTGTGCCTCAGTTTTAATCTGTAAAGTTAGGTAATTAGAGCTGATGGCCTCTCTGGTCCCTTCCAGCTTTAAATCTGTCATCCTATGGTTGATAAAATATTTTTAAAAAGAAAGAAAAATAGTGGAAAGCAATCTCTTCCTACTTACTATTAGATAATAAAAGTTGTTTAACATTTAATAAAATAATAAAAGTGCTGTTTTCAGAGGGCAGGGATGAGGAAGGGATTGATGTCCTCTGAGGAACTACTTAAAGACACTTCTCTGTGAGTCCACTTTAGTGACAGAGTAAACTGAGACCAAGAGAGGGCTGGAAATTAACTATGTTGGGATCAACCATATCATTTGTGTTGGACATTCTGCACTGGCCTGGGCTGGCCATGGCTATAGCTCAGTGCCCTGGCCAAGGCCTATGGGGAAACAAACCACAGCCTTCTAGGAAGAGGGGTCTTTTCCTGTATAGTGGAGAAAAAGATCCAGATCTTATTGTCCTGTCTCCTGTAAAGAATGCCATGTTGCTCTGTGCATCAAGTGGAAGAGAAAAAGAATTCAGAGACTCCAAGTTGTCTCCCAAGGGCAATGTAGAAATCTAGAGTCCCTTGCCTCCCCTCCATGGCTGCCTCCCTGGATTTTACACCCTGGGTGCTCAGTGGTTCTAAAAATCAGGCATGAGGGAGCTTGGAGTCCATGCATTCATGTCAGGCAGATGGCATTCCCCTGTTTTGTTTAACCTTTAGGGAAGGGAGACACAGAAAAGAAAGCTCTTTGGGGAATGAGGCTTCAACCAGTCAGGGAGCCAGGAGAGAGGTGTTTACCTCATCAAATTCAGCTTCATCCTCACAGTTCTCCAGCACTCTTGAGTAGAAGGAGTGTCCTGAGGGAGAGAAAAAGAGAAGGCATGAAAGTCAGAATCATTTTATATATCTGGACAGAGATATATAAGTTCCATATCATTTGAATAAGGGCCATTAGTTACCATTAATATTTAAAATGTTATGTACAAAATGTTTATATTTGGCACACATTCTAAAGATGTGAGATTCAGAATCACTGTTTGAAAAGGTGAAAAGTGAAAATCTCTTTCCCCTGTTGTTTCTCTTGCTCATCCCTATCCCAGCCAATCTTTTGTTTCCCAGGTTCCTATTCTCCATTGCCCAACTCCTCTGGAATCTGTTCTGTGGCAACAAACAGCTTCATGCTCTATAGCCTCTCTCCAATGTTGACTGTTCTTCCTCTCATGTTTACAGGCATGAGAAGACAGACCTAGTCCTTGCTCCTCACAGCCACTCCCAGACTCCATTCCTCAGTTACCTTTCCTCCCATGAAGTTCACCCCATTTAATAATATCCCCCTCTTCCAAGACCTTTATGGATCCCTCCTCCATGAGTCCAGTTCAGGGTTTACATTGTCTCTACACTTTGCCCTCCTCCTTCAGGATTTCAGCATGCACACTGATGATCCCACCACTCTGTTTATCAACCTCAGCTCCTATGACCTTCACCTCTACTCCAGCTGGTCACATATTAGACTATAGTGTCACCCCCAAAATATTCCACATTCAAGACAACAACAGCTTTGTGAGTCCTAATTCCACAAACATGTGGAAGTCGTGACAGAGGCAGCGCCAGAGTCCCAGATGATGCCAGCAAATATCTTAACAGACAATGTGATCACGGAGACCAGGTTCGTTGAGGGTGACCTCCTTGTCAGCCTGTCCAGAGTACCTCTGAGAGGAGGGTGTATTTCTAGGATTTGAGGGTTTTTTTCAGGTGGTGTGGGAGGGAAGGGAACTGTTTTATTTTCCTCCCCACCACCTCCTCAAACTCCCTTTGGCAAAAAAAAAAAAAATAACAGCAACCACTCAGTGACAGCTTTGTGCAGGCAGTCAGGTGAGCAGCCTGCCTCCTGGTGAGCGGCATCTACTGATCAGCCCGAACTCCCCAACCCCGGCTCAGGACAAGGAGAGAAACTGAACCCCTTGTCTACTTGCAAATACAGTTGGATGAACATTGACCAGGAATCGCCTTGTAAATGGCATCCTCTCTCCCCTGCTCCCCTCAGTCCCCATTTGCTCCACTTCTTTCTTGGCCCCTGCTTTCGGATAGAGTTCGTTTTCCAACCCCATGTTCATTTTCATTGTTTCATATATCTTCACGCATATGTAAAATAAACTGTGGTATTATTATGTAATGTAATTAAAATCAATTTATGAAATGAAACATTAAAAAATGTCGTAATTCTCCTTTCTGGTAGCAGTCTCCTGGTTTTGCACCTCACCTGTGAGGCTTTTCATTGACATTGTGGCCTCTGGTCCCTCAATCCCTCCCTGTTCTTCCAATCAAGCACCAGTTTTCTGGTTTTGAAGACATCAGCGTTCCTCCGAAGTCTTGACTCTATTGGTAATCAACTCAAAAAGTCACTTTCCCTCATCCTTGAATCCCTTGCCTGCCTTTCTTTTCGCTGTTCATTCTCTGATAACCTTCCATCCTGGGATCTCTCCCACCATCTGCTTTCTCTGTATCTACTCCCAGGCCGTTGAAGAATGGAGGAAATCACAATTCATTTTGCCTGAGTCCGCAACAAATTCACATTGTCAAAAGATCAACTTTAATATTACGATGAGTGGAGAGGTTTCGCTGGACTGTAGTTCAAATGAAAAGTTGGGGAGGGGAGGCTGTGTTTAGTGGGCTACAAACTCAGTATAAATAAATAATAATCATTTAAATATTTAACATTTATAGAAAGCTTGCAAAGTGCTTTAAATACTTTATCTCGTTTGAGTCCTACAATAAGGTCTTAAACTGAGGTCACCACTACAGGTGTTTTTGTCTTCATTTTACAGACGAAGAAACCAAGGGTCGGGGAGGTCATGTGACTTGTCCATCATCAAGTATTGCATGTTAAAGGTGAGATTAGAACTCAGGCTTTCTTTAACTTGAAGTTCTTCTCCCTTAACCTCGGTGTCCCATGACCTCTCTCAGCAGGACATGGCGGCCACAAAGTTAATGTGACCTAGTCCCCAGGTTCATCCTTGACGTGGGATCCTTCTTGACTATTCCTTCTCCCATGACACTCATATCTAATCAGTTTTGAATTCTTACTGATATTCTCCCAATGATAACTTCTATAGGTCCCCATCTCTTCACCCACATAGCTTTCCTCCCTAATTCAAGCCCTCACCACCTTTCCAATGCATTATTGAAGTGGCCTCCTAATCGTTCTGCCTGCCTCCAGTCTCTTCCCTGTGTGACCCAGCCTCCATACAGCTGCCCAGCTGATTATGCCTAAAACACAGATCTGGCCATGTCACTTCTTTCCTTCTAGCAGCTAGGGGGTACAATAAATAGCACCGAGCCTGGAGTCAGGAAGACTCCACCTCAGGCAATTATGAGCTGTGTGAATCTGTGTGACAAATCACTTACCTTCTGCTTGCCTCATTTTCCTCGACTATAAAATGCAGATAATAAGAGCATTTACCTTCCATGATTATTTGTGAGGATCAAGCGAAATACTCAAAAGGAAAAAAAGCCCAACAAAAACAGCACAGCACCTAGCACGTGGTAGGCACTATATCAATGCTTATTCTCTTACCTTCCCTCCATCTCCACTGTCCCCCACCCCCTCAGTGGAGGGAGGGGGAGGGGAGCCTTTAGCAGCCTCTTATTGCCTCTACTATAAAATACAAACTCCTCCGTTTAGCTTCTGCAGCCCTTCGCAGACTACCCCCCAACCTTTCTAGTCTTATTCCATATTATTGCCCTCCACGCACTCTCCGTTCTAGTTCAGCTGCTCTATTAGCTATTCCCCACAAATGCCATTCTCACCTCCATGCACAAGCTGTCCCTCATTTCTGGCATATGCTCCCTCTTTTCTTCCACTTCTAATAGTCCCTAGGTTCTTTCCACGCACACTTCAGATGCTTCCTCTTATATGGGGCCTTTCTTAATCCCTCCAGCAACTGGCACTCTTTCCCTCTTAAAATTACTTCGCATTTACTTTGCATCTATTCACTGGAGTACATATTGTGTCTCCCTCCCCTCTCCCCCCCCCACCCCACAACAAAGCTTCTTGAAAGTAGGGACTCTTCATTATTGGTCCCCATATCCCCAGAGCTTCACACAGTGCCTCATATGCAGTTGGTACTTAATAAGTGTTGAATTGAATGCAGTGTCTCATATGCAGATGCTAATCAATACGTGTTAAATTAAATGGAATTTACATTCTTCTCCTAAAGTTAGTCACTAGTGGAATCTTGCTCATTCCCAGGCAGGAGGTTAAAGAACTCCTTGGTGTGTGGGGCAGGGTGGGGGGGAGGACTGGCCTCCAGTCTAGCTGGTCTGTACCTTGAACCTTTTCTTTTCCAGTCCCATTAGAGGTAGCACCTCTCCCTCCCTGCTATGGTTTCCATGTCTTGGTGAGCAGGTTCTTGACAGAGCTGACTCCATTTTTGCTCTCAGCCAGGTGGAGGTCTCGCTGTGTTAGGCTTACAATGTAAGTTGCCTGTTCCCTGGACCCTTTTTCCCCTGAGTTTACAACATTTTCACTCTCTCTAACAAATACAGGTTATCGTTATAGTGCTCATGCCCAACTTTTCCTGCCCACTCAAGTCTCCTCCTCTCATTTGGGTCAAATGTCACAAATTCTACCATTAATTTATTCTGTAACCTTACACAAGTCATTTCATTCCTCATCTACCATTTGAAGCTATTGGACTATACAAATGCTAAGTAAGATCCCTTATAGCTCCAATGTCTTACCTTTCTATCATTATCACTAAAATCTTATCTTATCTTATCATCATCACTAATGTTAATGATGATTATGATGACATTTATAGAGTCCCTTAACGTTTGTAAAGTATGTTACATAGATTATTTTATTTGAACCTCACAACAGCTCTGTAAGGTGGGTACAATAGCTATTATTCCCATTTTACAGATGAAGAAATCTAGACTCAGAAAGGTTAAAGTCACGTGCTCATGGTCATAAGGCCAAATAATCATCATTTGAATAACCTCTAGCAAATTATTCAAGACTTCTGGGGCCCAGCTCATCAAGAGCCAGTATTTGACTTTCTTCCCCTCCTTCCATAGGCTGAGCCTGCTATAATACACAAAATCCCTTAATTCCCTTCTACATCTTCCCAAAGTAATGTTCATTTTCTATTTAATGCCCTCCTCCATACTAGTTTAGTGCTATGAGAAAAAAGGGCCAGGTGGAGAAGAAGGTGGAGTAAGCCCTTTCCTATAAGCCTTATGTTGGTGATGTTCTTTGTTGAGGATTGCAAGACCTTGGGCCCTCCTTTTATTTCATAGTTATTAGCTCAGGAAAAGAACCCCAGAGTCCCAGAAATGGAGACAGAAGGGAGCTCAGCACCATCTAGGCCTACCTGTACCCCAAGAAACCCCAGCTGCAAAATACCTGCCTGGTTTTGGTCCAGATTCTTTAGTCTAGAGATCCTCCAAGATTGGGGAGTTCATGACTTCCCAATGCAGCCCATTTTCTACTTTTGGACAGCTCTAATTGTTAGCAAGTTCTTCCTAAAGTTAAAGCTAAATTTCCCTCTTTGTAACTGTCATCTGGGCAGCTAAGCAATGCAATGGATAGAGTGCCAGCCCTGGAGTCAGAAGAACCTGAGTTCAAATCTGACCTCAGACACTGACTAGCTGTGTGATCCTGGGCAAGTCACTTTACCCTGTTTGCCTCAGTTTCCTCATCTGTAAAACGAGCTGGAAAAGGAAATGGCAAACCACTCCAATATATTTGCCAAGAAAACTCCAAATGGGGTTGCAGGTAGTTGGACATGATTGAAAAGAATGAAGAACAATGGTCATCCACTATTCCTGGTTCTACCCTCTGGAACGAAAGAGAACC